TCTCTATAATGTAGTTACTATTTTTAAAATTACTAATAAAGATATGAGCAAGGCCTCACCTTAATACCAAAAAAAAAGAAGATATTTTTATTCAAGTTTTTATTTAAATTTATCTAAGAGAAGCATTGTTGCAGATCTAAACTGGATCAAGTCCAAGAATTATTTGGAAGATAGGCATAATGAACTGGTTTACTTTCTCTAAATACAATCTTTTAAATGCAACCCCTTTAAATACAACTTTCAACTCTTGCCCAAATATATACATACTAGACTTCTATTAAAACAATTTTTCTTATTGTTTTCTAAATGCAAACTATAAAAAGGCTAATCACTATGAATTGTTTTTAGAGAAGTTGACTATAATTAGACATGTGAAAAATCACAGAAAATTAAAGAGATCAGCAAAATAATCTTGCAATAGAGGGAAGGTTTATAAAAAGCAAAAAAAATATCTTCACAAACTAATGTATTAATATATAGCTAATCATGTATATATTTGTATATAGTGATAGTTATGTATACAAAAATTATGTATTGAGTAAAATTATATTAGTTTATAGAATATAAAAAGTTGAGATATAATATATAGCACAGTTACTATATAATGACAATCTGCATATACAATGTTACAACATATTATAATTTAAAACAAAAGTCAAAATTAATAAAATTTAAATTACTTTCTGTTATTTCCTAAACTTCTATAGTTATATAATAAAAGCTAAGCTATTTGAGGAGTTGTAAGTAAACAATTTATCAGAACTTATCCCATTCCTGGTTTTAGTGAACTGCATTGCGCAGATATCTTATTCATATTGAATCTATTATGCTGAAATCAATAACTTAACTGAATAGTCTGAATAATCATTTGGCTAATTTTTTGGCAGATGTTTCAGAAATTATGAAAACAGCTTTAAAAAAAAAAATCCAACCAACCAACCTGAAAATTTAAAATCCATGTAATGCAAAACAAAAAATCAACTTTGTGTAGCCTAGTAAAAGATTAACTACAAAAAGAGTGCTTTCTATAAAGAAAAGATTCTGGAAGAAAAAAAAGTTTGTTATAAAAAAAAGTATTGGCAAATTTGCCTGAAACCCAAAAAAGGAAATTTTTCTATTTACATCGCAAGATCAGGGACAATATTTGTTTAACACAAAATCGAAGACTTGTTCAAAACATTACCGATAACTCAAAATTTTGCCTAAGAAATCACCTTTTACGTTCTAATTAAAAAAATTCCTAGCCAAATTTTACTATATGCCCTTCTTTATCCCAACTCTAACCCTAACCCTAACGTGTTCAAATTTCACAATAAATAAATCCAGGCAAATTTGCCCAGGCGTCAAACAGATTTTCTCTATAAAAAATTACTATATTTTATTAAAAACACATGCACTTTTTATACTGAACTATTATGAAGTTCAAAAATTGTGAGTTCATTGTATCCAGAGTCGTACATAATTTATTGAAGAACTTCACAAAAAAACAAACCAAATGGTTAAACAAATAAACTAAAACCAAATGATTAAACAGAAATAGAGTTATATTTTTACAATGTCAAACTTTATATTATTTCTATGTTTGTATATACATTGTAAATTGCGTTAAATATTGCTTTATATGATCGTTATTTAAGAAAAATAAAATATTACCGTTAGAAAAAAATCATCGAAGACTTAAATTCCGGAACATAATCCGGACTATCATCCGAACGATCACCCGATCTCAACCTAGTACACATTTCTGTGTGCCACAGTAACGAATAATTAGTGGGTCCACCAAAATTCAGCAAATCGGCCCGAATTTGGGGTCATGGATGGACCGGAGCAAAGTGGGCATTAAGCAATAATACTGGCCGACTATATTATAGCAAAATTATCATTTGGGCAGCTTTACTTAGTGCATAGGCTGCCACTTTATTAGTAAAATTTTGGGTGATTTTAGAAAAATTTGTTAATCCCAACCTATTCCGACCTAAATTCGGCCGATTTGCTGAATTTTGGTGGACCCTCTAATCTACTCCACAGTAACAATATAGTAACTAAGTTCCTATCAATTTAATGGTAACTATTACTACGTATAAGCTTGTAGTTACAGTACTATGCAGTTACTGGATCCGCCCGAATCGTTAATGTAACAGTGACAACAATATTACTAGTAAACCTTATTTTAATCTAAGTTCTAGTGTAACGTGATATCTCTTAAAATAGGAACAATAACAGCAGATCACCCAAAATTTTCTCTACTGTATAACTGTCACGCAAATGGTTGATATGATTGATTGTCATTAACTTTACAATTTAAATTTTTCTGGTCATTTTTTTTTAACCATTCAATTTAATAATGAATTTATAAAATGGAATTATGTGAAGTATGCAATAAGCGAAAGACTGATTATTTTTGGTGTTTAACATGTAATTCAGGTCATTTTGAAAAACAATTTGACAAATGGACAAGTGGAAATGATGTAATTGATAAATTTATTAAGAATATTCAACTTAAAGCAGCTAAACAAGACCAAGTATTAGAATGGGTTGAATTTAAAGACATCGATCAAGTTGAATTTCTTGCTGAAGGTGGCTATGGAAAAGTATTTAAGGCTAAATGGAAAAACGGTCCTATTAAATATTATGATAATAAAAATAAAAGATGGCGCAGAGCTGGTGAGACTGAAGTTGTTCTTAAGAGTATAAAAAATTTAAAGGATGTGAAAGAGGAATTTTTTAAAGAGGTACATAATTTAATGTGCTAATTTTATTTGCGTAAATAATACTTTTTTAATTTTTTAATTTTTATTTTTTTTAAAGATTGAAACTCAAATGGCCTCATGTGAGGAATTTAGTTATATTATTAGATGCTACGGGATAACTAAATGTCCAATCACTGAAGATTATATGATGATCATGGATTACAAAAAAGACGGTAGTCTTCGAAGTTATTTAGATGCAAATTTTCATCTTCTAAGATGGGAACAAAAATTAGAACTTTTATACACTGCAATTAAAGGCCTTTTTGATATCCATGAAAAAAAATTAGTACATAATGATTTTCATAGTGGTAATATTATTGTCTCAGACAATGAATCATATATTTCTGATTTTGGATTATGCAAAAATGTTAATTCTGAAACAGAGTCTGAAGCCAAGTCTGAAGCCAAATCTGAAGTATTTGGAGTTTTGCCATACATTGCACCAGAAGTACTACGTAAAAAACCATATAAAAAAGCGGCAGATATCTATTCTTTTGGAGTAATTATGAATCAGGTTGCATCAGGCTATGCACCATTTCACGATTATAAACATGATACTGACCTTGTACTTCAAATTATCGACGGGGAACTCCGCCCAAACATTGATGTTAATAACACACCACAATCTATTATTAAATTAATCCAACGTTGCTGGAGTCAAAATCCCAAAGAACGGCCAGTTGCTATTGAATTGCTTAATGAGCTTCGTAGTTATAGGGGAAAAGACCATGAAATATGGAAGGAAATTGAAAAAATCGAAGAAAATAAGAATTTTAATATATCACCACAGGAAGCATCGCTAAAATACGAAACATCCAAACAAGCATTCTATACTAGTAAACGCTATTATGTTCCAGAAACAAGTAAACACGATTATAATTCAGAAACAGGTAAATTTTAATTTTGTATTATCATTTATAATTTAGAATTTTATTATTTATTACGAATTCATCAATTTTGTTCATTTTTTTTAGAATCTCTGATTCTTCCATCCGATCCATCCGATTCTGATTAAGTTGATTAAAACATATATTTCATTGTATATTTTTATAGTGAAACAAATCTAAATTATTGCACCAATCTTGTTTTGAATTATCAAAAATAATACAAAATTTTCTATTATAATTTGTTTGATTATTTCAACAATTTAAACGTAAATGTAATGTAAAAAAGAAATATTTTCTAATTAATAATTTCATTTCTTGTACTCATAATTGTATTTTAATAAATTTATTTTACAATTGCCATTATGACTCGAGAGAAATAACTAAACTAGTCATAGTTGAACTTATATTTCTGTTTTGTTTTTTTTTTGAATCCTGTGATCTAAATTCGTTTGTCCTGTAGAACTTATTTATGAATGCGCCATAATATCTCACAAATATTTACAATGGACAATAAACATCAGAATAGAATAAATAAAATTTACAATAAAACAATATAATACTAACACATACTAACACCGGGTTAGAACTTAAAAATAAACCAAATTGTAAAAATTAACATTGAATAAAAGAAAATTTAAGCAACATTTGCTAGAACTAATTCCTATCTTTTGAAACAACAAACGGCCAAGAGTTTTTATGACATAATTAAGGAGGTAACCCACAATAGAAGTGTATGGTTTATACGCTGTTTGGAGTGGGATTTGTACGCAAAATCAAGTTTGATTGGTCCGCATGCCTTATTCGTCAAGTTTTGGTTATTTTTCACGCATAAATTCATCACGCCTTATATCCTATCATAACCGCACATATGAGCAATATCACAGATGCAATAACTAACGATAGTAAAAGCAAAAATTTTCGCCGCAAAAATTGTTACCCAATGCAATTTGGTTTGTCTATTTACCTGATATTTTGTATTTTGCGTTTTTTTTTTCGTAGGATCTTTTATCGGGTTGATGAAATGATAATCACTGATCGTCAAAGAAATTTACGAAACATTTTTTGGATGATCGGATAACCTGTTAATTTATTGCATAATTGTCTAATGCGTGTTAATTTCCCGGCTGTGTATATCGAATGCTTGGATAAATGATGTTTACTGTAATGGCTGCTGATATTATTTGAGGTATTTATTGTTATGGTGTTACATGAGATTTTGTCATTTGATCATATAGACATCCCCAGTTGTAGATCACCTGATTTTGACCTCAACGTGAAGATATTCAAGGATTGAATAATTATCTTCCAGATCCCATATGAATAATCTCATGTTGCATCGTAGTATTTTATATCTCATGCCTTCATGTCTTTTCACATTGCATTCTCTAGGATAGTTAAAGATAAAGACTACCGAAATGGCCAAGATTTTGTTAATCGTAGCTTGTTCAAAATGTATAAAAACCCTCACCTTTTACCTTGAAGAAAGGGAGACTTTGACTTCTCCTTTTCCTTATCATATTATTTTTACTATTGTATTTCTTCACCTACTTATTATAATAAAGTAATTATGTCTTCATACATGTTAAATTAATTGACCTAACGATCTTGACCACGTGACCATTGTGAAGGAACTTCACGATTGACACTTATCTAGTATCTCAACCCTATATATATAATTATTATAACAACTATTGTATCTTCATATATATTAGTTGCTTTGTCTCATTGAACAAGCCTTGATAATACCTCTTTAATAAGTTGTATATTTAATGCCTTTATTATAGCCTGAATCCTAAGGTCATAGTCTTCTTACTATAATAGTTACATTTTTTGAATTACTGTAAGAGGTGTAGTTCAAGTGTGACAATGGATTATCGTGAAATTAGATTATCATGAAATTTGGATCTATTTTATGTATGATTTTTAAAATTTTTTAGTGCTTTTTTTGTAGACTTTTTTTTTTATAGTTAAGCTAGGATTTAAGGTTAGAATTATTAATAAAAGAGTATAAGTAGATTTTGGTAGGGCTTATATTTTAAATTGAGACCCCAAATTTCACGATAATCTGTGACTAGTGATGTGCCGCGTATAGTACAGTACGCAAAAAAATTTTTAGAATATTCTAGAATAAATTATAAAACCATTCATATCTCAAAAGTTTCCTTATGAAACCACCTTTTGTATTCTAATTAAAATTACTCCTTGTGAAATTTTGTATATAGATAGTTTATATATCATACGTGTACTATACATATTGCACATGCTATACACACTATACGCACTATATGTACTGTACATACTGTACGTACTGTACGCTAAAAAAATCCGAATATCATATAAATGGCACATCACTAGTCACGACTCTTGGTTATGTACTTGATGCCAGTTCTTATCTTCTAATTACACTATATAAAATACTATACGTACTGTACGTACCGTACGCGAAACAAATTGGGCTATCATATAAATAACACATCACTAGGTTTGCTGAATTTTTCTATCAACACGTAATAGAGAATTTTGATAGATCTGCGGTTGCTTTTTGATAGGCCCAAAATGTACCCGCTTATTTTACGTTTTTGATGCATTTTAGTATACGAAAATCTACTTCAAGACTTTGAACAAAGATATCTTAAAAACCGCCTATGCAAATTTTGCAATTTTTTTATTTTGATTCTATGGTTCTTTAGAATCAAAATAAAAAATCCATTAAATTAGATTAAGTGGGTGCCAAGATATTTTAATAGATGGTTTATATGGTAGTAAAACTTTGAGGGAAGATATCTCAGCAATTGAAAAGCCAAATTCGATGAATTCTTTTTTATTTTGATTCTAAAGACCTACATAATCAAAATTAAAAAAAAAACATTGAATAAGGTTGAGCAGTTGATGAGATAACTTCGCTCAAAATAACGGCTGCAACAAAATTTTTTTATATTTAAAGATTTCTCAACAAATATCCAACCAAATTCAATGAATTTTTTTATTTTATTTTAATTCTGCATATATGTAGAAACAAAATAAAAAAATTCATCGAATTTGATTGAATGGTTGCAGAGATATCTTCGCTCAAAGTTTTGAAACTATATTATTGTTAAACTTTGAGCGTAGAATCTCAGCAAATACGTATTCACCCAAATTCGATGAGTTTTTTTATTTTGATTTTATAGATCTGTCGAATCAAAATAAAAAAAAATTCATTAGATTTTGCTGGACGGCTATTGAGATATTTTTGCTCAAAGCAGAGATTGGAACCGGTTTTAATAATTCGAGTTTATCACGTGAATTTTGTGATATTTTAGAATTTAATCCAATTAAATTTTAATAAATTTTAAAATATCACAAAATTTACATGATAAACTCGAATTATTAAAACCGGTTCCAACCTCTAGCTCAAAGTATTGATAAAATACCTCAGATTTAGGGTGTGCTGTAGATCTATTAAAAAAGCAACCGCAGATTGCCGCACCAGTGGTAGTTTCAAGCCCGTTGGGCCGGCCCATTCCCCACCCTCTTTACAACACATATTAATCAAGAATAACCAAAGCCGTGTGAAGCAGTCACCAGTTTTATTCTGCCCAACCATAAACCAATCGGATTGAAGATTTTGTGTTAATACATCACGAAAATTGCCGTATAACCACCCCCTTTGTGTTATGCTATACATAACACTTCGTTCCTGATATTTCGATATGTGTGTAATTAATAGAACTAATCAGAAGCAGTAGAAGTGGTAGGAAATTAGTAAGCCCGTAAGGGTAAGATTGAAACTATTAAATAAGATGGGTGGCGCGTAAGCGCCACCAATCGTGCTAGTAATAATCAATTTGCAATATCTTGATAAATAACGTGCCGAGCATTTTACAACATGTTTTGGATTATCTTTATTTGATTTATTATTTATATTATGGTATCTCCATTTATCGTTATAGTTACCGGGTATATTTATTTAAATTAGTGTAACATTGGAAGCATTGTTATGGTGTCACACAAAATTTGGCTACAACAAGCAACGCAGGAAAAAAAAAAAAACGAAAGTTTTTTAACCAAATTTTACCAAAAAAAACAAATTACTATGGAAACCAACTTAATCATTAAGTTCAGTGCCAAAATTTAGATCAGTAAATTATTAGCCAACATACATCTTCCTTAGTGCATATGATTTAAGCGTTGCTAAAAGAAAACCCGAAAATTTAAATATAAGTCATATTTAAATTTTCGAGTTTTCCTTTAGCGACACTCATTTGATAAACATTTTGGTACAATGTAATCGATCAAAAATTTTTTTCTTGGCAAAAAAATAAAAATTTACCAAAAAAATAAATTAAACTAAATTTAATCATTAAGTTTCAGCCCAAAAATTTAGATAAGTAAATTATTAGCCAACATGCGTATGCCTAAGTGTATGTGATTTGATAAACACTTTGGTACACTGTAATCGATAAAAAACCATTTTCTCCAAAAAAAAACTATTTAATTTGGTCAAAAAAAAGGAACTTAAATTACTATGGAAATTTTTAATCATTAAGTTTAAGCACAAAAATTTAGATAAGTAAATTATTGCCAAATATACGTATTCCTTAGTGCAAGTGATTTGATAAGCACTTTGGTAAGATCAAAAAACAAACTTTGATTATATTCGTAATATAACCAAATCAAGTTTAGTGCACGGTACAAATATTTACCTTAGATTGTATAGATATCCTCACAAAATATTTGGATCAGCAGTAACTTATTACAATAGCTTAATATTATTACACGAAGACTGGGAACGTAAATATTTTGTTTATTCTTAATTATTTACAAATTACAGTGTAACTTCGATATAGTCAGCCTAGTGATTGAACCCGTCTAAAAAAACGACACCCGGGTCACCCGACGCGTGGGCTATCGGCCACCAGGGTGGGTTACAGTTATTTTCATAATTCCTGATACATCTGATAAAAATTGACTAAATAATGCTCTGCCGATTCGATTACAGCTGTTTTATACACTCTGGAACATCTGGCAAAAATTGACTGACTGAATATTTGCCGATTCGATAAGTTTGTGATTTGGTAATGATCACATCCGAATCAAAAATTTTCACTACCGAATCAAAAACTTATCGAATTGGCAAATATTCGAT